ACGATACCAATCGTGCAGCTTTGAATATTGACTGGTTTGGATACTGACTAGTAGCATGAATCTTACGTGCCTTTATTACTTCTTTATTACTGAATGTTAAAAAAGGCTTGATAGAGTGATGTTACTAAACAGGAAACAACAATTAAGAACAAGTATAAGAACAAAATAACCCATGTAATATTAACCTAAACGTTACAGAAGCAGTGTTTCAGTCAGCAGCATCCATCCTTTTTCTATCACGCTTATCCCAAGCGGGGTCACGTTGGGTGCTGGTGCCCATCTCCAGCAATGTATGGGCGAGAGGCGCGGTACACCCTGGACAGGTCCCCAGTCCATCGCAGGGCAACACCGAGACAAACAACCAATCACGCACACAATCACACAGAATTTAGAGAAGCCAATTAACCTAACATCATGTTTTTAGACTGTGGGAGGAAGCCAGAGTACCCGGAGAGAACCCACGCATGCTCAAGGAGAACATGCAAACTCCATGCAAAAAGACCCCAGGCCTGGACTCAAACCTGGAACCTTCTTGCTGCAAGGCAGGAGTGCTATCCACTGCGCCACTGAGCAGCCCCAATATGCATATGTCAGAGATTGCAAAGGCTTGTCAATAGGGGTGTAGATAATAAGCCGACAATCCGATGCATCGACACGTCTGCAAGATTATCGATTCATGTTTTTTTTTTTTTTTACTCTGGTCTATTTTTATCCATTCTCCTGGACGCAAGTCTGACTCCTGTGCTGCAGTGGAACTAAACCTATTTTGCCCTCCTAACTTGCTTCCTTTAGCCACTACGCTCTTTCTGCTTGCCCACACACACTCACATAAACAGTAAGCAAGACAGACATGGCGGATTCTTGAGTATCGAAAATTATCGAATCGTTGGATAAGGAAATATATACTGAATGAAATTGCCATGAAGGGTGCGATTTACACCCCTACTTGTCAATATAAACACATATTCTACTTTTGCCTAAAATCCGACTAATATATTGGATCCAAACATCCCTAATCCCTGACAGTTATAAACCAAAAACACACATATACACATATATGTGTATATATACACATATGTGTATATACACACACATATACACATATGTGTATATACACACACATATACACATATATGTGTATATATACACATATGTGTATATACACACATATACACATATAT